CGAAAGTCCGCACATTGTAACCCTAACCCCAACTCCGAAACTCTTTCACCCGAATCCTGACACCCTAACCCCAACACTCGAATCCGAACACCCAAGAGCGAACACCCGAGCTCGACAGACTAACCCTGCACCCGAACATCCGAACACCCCAACGCTATCACCCGAGCCCAAACCCCTGAACCCGAACATTCTAACCCTGACACCCTCACCCTTACACCCAGAGCCCTGAACCCGAGCCCATACGTCTCACACCCCAAACACCCCTCACCCCATACGCCCTGACCCAAACACCCCTTACGCCCCAACTCTAACACAATAACCCTGACACTGGAACCCTAGCCCCGAAGGGGAAGACTCCGAAATTCCGAAACAAACGAGCGACTCATTGAATATTGCTTCTTGAGGCTCTCTTGGAAGTGCCCTTGGAAACGTCTCGGGCGGTCTTGGACGCCTTGGGAGGCTCTGTCGGCGATTCGGAGCCTCCTTGGATGGTCTGGGGTATCTCTTGAGCTGTTTGGGGGTCGTCGTGGGTCTGCATATTGGGGAGGGCCTCCCGAGGCCCGTGGCGCCCATGGTGTTCGGGTCACAGTGTTCAGGTTAGTGCGTGAGGGTTCGTGCCTCAGGGCTAGGATTCCTGTGTAGGGGTGCGGAGTTCCAGTTCGGATGTTGGGGCTGGGGTGTTCGAGTTTGGGTGTTACGGTTGCGTTGTGTTAGGGTTGCGGTCAAGATGTGCGGCTTAGGATGTTCGGCTTAGGGGGTTCTGGTCAGGGCGTTCGGGTGTCAGGGTTAGGGTGCTCGGTCTAGGGTGTTCTGTTCACTGTCTTCGGGTATTAGGGCTCGGGGGTTGGGGTTCCGGTGTTCGGGTTAGGGTGATAGCGTTGGGGTGTGAGGGTTAGGGTGTCAGGCCTGGGGTGTTTGGTTCAGGGCGTTGAGGCGACAGGTTTTGTGGCTCGCGATGTTGCCAGTTTTGCTCCGCAGCATGAACTCGTCGGCGACGGACTGTGGGAGCAAGGGCCTAGATTTACGTTGCTCCCATCGCACTCAAGGACCACATCCAAGAAATTATTCCGAGCACCCAAAAAAGTGTCGAAACGCTGTCGAGAGAGTATCGCCTCCCAGGGTCCGACACGTGAAACCCTTCAAATTTCGGTACTTTCCTGGTGCTCGAGATTATTCCTTGTGGTCAAGGCTGAAGTAGGTTGGAACATCATAAGCCTAGATCTTTGGACGCTTCTGGTCCTGGCCTGCCTCGTTGGTGCTGTGGCCCTCCCAGGCCCAGTCTTACGTCGGGCCTGTCCCTCTACAAAGGGAACGTTCCAACAGAATCCAAAACTAGCCTGGGGACGACTTTGTAGTTTTTTGCCATGTGGGGGCATTTTTGGAGTTATAGGTATATATATATATATATATATATATATATATATGTATATATACATAAATGTATGAAACAACAGAAAATTAAAAACAAAAATCGCAAGAATCCCCCTGTAGGGGGTCAGGCCCTCCCTAAGCCCAGCCCCCCTCGCGAGGCCCCTGCCGCCCAGGGAGCACGGCACGGCACGGAGCCTCCTGCTCTGCCCGAGGCGGCGGCCTGCGTCGGCGGCCGGCCCAAGGGGGGGGGGGGGGGACGTGAGAAGGGTTAGGTCGGGCCTGTCCCCCTACAGAGGGATTTTGGGCGAAACATGAAAAAATACTCCAAACATACCTACCCCCAAAAATGCGGTATATCTATGTATCTATGTATCTATCTATCTATCTATCTATATATCTATCTATCTATCTCTATCTATCTATATACATATATCGGAGGTGAGGGGGGTGAGATCGAAGTGGAACGGCGAGCCCCCCTACCGGGAAATCGATTTCGGTTTCGTGTTCGTGCGTGCCGTGCGTGCGGGCGAGGCGAAGCTGCGTGGGCGGGCGAGAAGAAAGTCTCCTGTGGCTGAGGCGCGGCCGGACCAAATGTCTCCCTTCCGGGCGGCCGGTGGCCCGCGGTGTCCCGCGGTGTCCCGCGGTGTCCCGCGGTGTCCGCGTGTCCCGCGGTGCCCCGCGGTGTCCCGCCGGTGTCCCGCGGTGTCCCGCGATGATGATGATGATGATGATGATGATGATGATGATGATGTTGATGATGATGATGATGATGATGATGATGATGATGATGATGATGATGATGATGATGATGATGAGAATGATGATGATGATAATGATGATGATGTTGATGATGAGATGATGATGACGATGATGTTGATGATGGTGATGATGGTGGAGCTGATGATGATGCTGCTGATGATGATGATGTTGATGATGATGAAGATGGTGATGCTGATGCTGATGTTGATGCTGATGATGATGAGGACAATGATGATGATGATGATGATGATGATGATGATGATGATCGAGTGAGATCGAGTATGAGATAGATCGAGTGAGATCGATTGTGAGATCGATTGTGAGATCGATCGAGGGAGATCGATCGAGCGAGACCGATACTGAGATCGATAGTGAGATCGATAGTGAGACCGATCGAGTGAGACGTTGGTTCCTCCCCCCCCGAACCTCCTTCTCACCCGAAGGGTGGTCGTATAGGTGTGTATATATATAATCGTCCCGTACTATTTTTGACTATTTGGGAATATCCCCCTTGTTGAAAGACAGGCCCGACGTCAGAGGGGCGGGCCTTCTCAGAAGGCTCGACAGTCACCCAGGCCTTCTGCGAAGCTCTTGCGCCGACTGCACCGGGAACTTCTCAAAAGGCCGGAGGGCTCCACAGAGAAGCCCCACCGCCTTCTGTGAGAAGGCCTTCTCCCTGTTACTTCCCCCTCCTCTCGCTCGCCGCCGACTTCGGGCACCCCCCCTTGGCGGCCCCGCGCGCCCCGTGCGAATGTCGCGACCCGGAGGGCTGGATGACCAGGCGAAGCCCCAACGCGCGTCGGCAGCGGCGCTGCCCCCCGTCGAACTCTTCGGCGTCGGAGCGTCCCTTCTTCCTCTCGGCCGCCCGCCCCCCTTTGCTCGCCGGCCAATTCGCTAGCCAGTGCCCCCATCTGGCTTCTCGCTGGAGCGGAGTTCGCCGCCTCACCGCTGCGGAAAGCAGTGTCGGCGGCGGCGGTCCCCTCCCCCGCCGCGCCCGCGCTCGCCCTCGCCCCGCCGTGCCCCGCTCGGCCCCTCAGTGCCCCTCGGCTGCCTCCGACCGCGGCGCGTCTCCGCGCCGCGGCGGCCAACAGTGCGTGCGGCGGGCGGCGCGCCCGCGGGAAAGAGGCCACACGAGGAGGAGGAGGGGGGGGAGGAGGAGGAGGAGGAGGAGGAGGAGAGGAGGAGGGGGGAGGAGGAGGAGGAGGAGGAGGAGGAGGAGGAAGGAGGAGGAGGCGGAGGAGGAGGAGGAGGAGGAGGAGAGAGGAGGAGGAGGGAGGAGGAGGAGGGGGAGGAGGAGAAGGAGGTGAGGAGGGGAGGAGGGGGAGAAGGAGAGGAGGAGGAGGAGGAGGAGGGGGGAGGAAGGAGGAGGAGGAGGAGGAGGAGGAGGAGGAGGAGGAGGGGGAGGAGGAGGAGGAGAAGGAGGAGGAGGGGGGGGGCAGGCCTGCCCAGGAGGCGCAGAAGGCCCACGGCCTTCCGAGAAGGTCTCTCCGAGCCTTCTCCGAAGGCAGGGGCTTACCAGCCTGGAACATAATCCTTATCCCTATGCTGGGCATCTCCTCGTCACGATGCCAAGCATAGGGATAGGGATACGTTCGAGGCTGGTAAGGGGCGGTCTCTCAGAAATCTGGGGAGGGCTCCTTCTCTCCCAGATCCGCGCACGGAGACCTCGATGGCGCGACGCCAGGGATTGAGATGCGACTGGGCAGTCGGCAAGCTCCTGCCGCGGGACCCGCGTCCCCCCTTCCTCCAGGGTGGAACGAAGGCGCTGTCGCGGAAGAGGGGGGCAGCCCAAAATAGCGCGCCGATCAACCTGCAAATACACGAACCAAAACGAGTAGACACGCACTGGAGAAACGGGCGCACGCGAGGATTGATACAATCACTATGGCGCAACTGGCAAAATCAACAGATCCAGCACGAGGGGGAAACGGAGACGGAGGAAGGGGCAGACACAACGAAGGGAACCGGGAGGAGAGACGGATAAGGTCAAGCGCGCGGGTGGGGCGCGGAGAGAATAAATCGCCCCACTGTGGGTTGAAAATGCTTACGCACGCAGGGCACCGTATGATTGGACATGGGCCTGAATGTTATCACACCGCTGTCGGATACACCCGGATTGAGCAGGGACCGACCGTCCTGGTATTCCTATAGGTTTATCGCGAAATATTCTTAGAACCCCCACATGTTCTTAGCCTCTAGGCACGCCGGGACGCTTCGCCAATGCTTGACCAGAGAGGGGGGGCGGGGGAAAGAATCCAGGGTCGCAGGCTGGGCGCATGTACACATGCGACTACGGTCGGGAACCTTTGCTGAGCGTGTCGCGGCGGCGGCCCCGGCGACACGCCATGCCACGTGAGTGGATAGCGTCTCGCTCCGCTCCGCGGGGCGGGAGGCTCGAAAAGGTTCGGGGCGTTGACGCTGGGGGGCGAGGAAGGGGATGGCGTGGTGACGCGCCGAAGCGCGGTGGGCCAGAACCGGCGGCGCGACACGCTAACCAAACGTTCCCGATCGTAGACCCCGCACGCGGGGCAGACGAGGGGGAGGCAACGGGGGGCGAGCCCGAGAGCAATGCCCCTGGGGTCGGCCGCCTGCGTGAGCCCCTCCGCCTTCCGAGAAGGCCTGCCGCCTCTCACTTCCCCCCATCGACGCGCCGCCGAGTGTTGAGAGGTGGACTCAACGCGGGTAACCCCCTCCCCCCCTCCCGCGGTCAGTGAAGCGCGACTCGCGGGTCTGCGGCATCCACCGCAGGGCCCCGCCCCCAGTCTCAGCGCACCTCTCCATCCTGTGCCCTCATCCTCCCCCCTCTTCCTCCTCCTCCTCCTCCTCCTCCTCCTCCTCCTTGCTCCTCCCTTCTTCTTTTCCTCAGCAAACTAACCGAGCCACTGTCCTCCAAAGCCGCGCGCGGCGCCTTCTTCCCTCAGGATGCGGGAGATCACCCTGAGACCCCTGGCAGGGGAGGAGGGAGGGGGGAGTAGGATGAGGAAGATGAAGAGTAAACGTACTACTGCTAAACAGAATAATTATAGCCGTGGTAGAAAAAAAGAGAACGAAGAATAGGGAAGCGGACAAGGAGGTGGGGCGGGAGAAAGAGGAGGCGGGAGGAGGAAGGGCGAGGAGGAGGAGTGGAACGAGGGCGACACTGAGGATGAGGACGAAGAGGGGGGCAAGGAGGAATAGAGGAGGGGAACGGGGGAGATGCGAGGAGAGGAGGCGGTGGAGGAGAACGGGGGGGGAAAAAGAGGTGGAGGAGGACGGAATGGGGGCCAGGAGGATGAGGGGGGAGGACCGATCCCTGGACGTCTAGACAACGACGACGACGAAGACGACGCCGACGAAGAAGACGAAGACGACGACGACGAAGACATAGACGACAACGACCACGACCACGACCACGACAACGACCACGACGACGACCACGACAGCGACCACGACAACGACGACGACGACGACGACGACGACGACGACGACGACGACGGCTGCGCTGAGACATGCCCCTAGTTAAACCAAGCAAATTGAAAAGACCGACCAAGCCAAAAGTGACCAAGCAGGACACCCCGGGCAGATTGCGAACACACCCCAGTGGGCCGCACCGCTAACTGGTGCCAACCTTGGGCGGATGTAAAAAAGCCTCCCGATCGAAACCAGCGAAACGGGATCCACCAGTTCTCTCTGAGGACTCTCTGGGAGAACTTCGAACTTGTGCTCAGGGTTTCGAACTGCCACAGGGACTTTGTGGACGCGCTCTCTGTTGGAATGCACTGCGGACTTGGCGACCCTGACTGCGACCTGCCCGAGCACCCCTGCAGAACCTTGCAGGAGGGGCGCCCAGACCCCCACGACCACTGTTGCGAGGCGGTTGGGGCACTCGGGCGGCGCCGGAAGACATGCGCCCAATGCTGCCAGTATCGCAGAAGACGACATGATGACGAATGGCCAGGATAACTGCAAGAAGCGCGGCCTGGGTCAAGGGACAAGGGACACGACATCAACCGGACACACACTGAGTAGCCAGCCTGCTGAATTGGCCTGCCCCTCCCCCCCTCATCTCCCTCCCCCTCCGCCTCGTCGTCATCATCATCGTCATCATTCGCATCCTCCTCCACGCCCCCTCCTCCTCCTCCTCCTCCTCCTCCTTTTTCTCCTCCTGCTATGTCTTCTCCTCCTCCACCTCCTCTCTCCCACCACACCTCCTTGCGTTGTGGCGTTCTGGCGCTTGCCATTTGAGGTATGCTCTCGGAGGCGCTGGGGCTTGGATCCCCAGGTAGGACTTCCTTTCCCTCCGCTCCCACGCCCCGGCTGCTGCGGCTCCTCCTGTTTCCCCTAGAGTCTTCCCAAGTTCATCCCCTTCTCCACGGAAGGAGGATGACATGGAGGGGGGAGGAAGGGGAAAAGGGGGAGGAGGAGGGAGGAGGACGAGAAGGAGGCGGAGGAGGGGGAGGGAGGAACAAGAGGAAGAAGAAGGAACAAGGGGTCCTCGAATTCCCCTGGGACGTACCACCCCGCTCTGCCCTTCCGATCGAAACCCACTCCTTTCCCTCAAGGCCCCCACCATTCCCCTCGAGATCCACTCATGCCCCCCATGCTTCACAAGAGATTCCCTGAGCAAGCCCCGCCCCCCCCCCCAACTCGGCGCCCGCAACCCGTGCCCACGGAGCCCACTCCCCAAGATTCCCTCCCGCCGACCCCCCCATTGCGCTCAGGATGCTCCTAGCCCCTCGCAATTTTCCCATAACGTCTCGACGACTCTCGATACCCTCCTCCTGCCTCCCCTGCTCCTCGTCACCCTCCTGTTCTTATTCCTCTGCCTTATCCTTCTATCCTCCTCCTCATTCGCCGTTTCCTCACTATCACGTTCCTCGCCCATCCACCTCATCCTCCTCGTAAGCCTTCCTCCACCTCTCCTCTTCCTACTCCTCCTGCTCTTCCCCGTCTAAGCGTGGACTGGAAAACCCTGTTGGTGGAAGTGGAAAGCCACGAAATTGTACACGTGTGCACAGATACTCCGGCATCCCCGTCCTTCTCGCACGTAGCCTAGAATGAGTTCAACCACCCTCAGCCTGCTGTACAATCTGTGCATGTGCACATACAGCACGTGCTGAAATGTCCAGCAGCGTGTGAGACGAGTTCGAGCCACTGCTGACATTGTAGAGCTAGAAAACGACAACGATAAGCTGCCCTGCCAAATCTGGCTCATCATCCTTCCAACCCGAGACCCTTGTCTAAATGGAATGGGACCTTGCAGGAGGGGCAGAAAACCACCTGCATGACACTCCACATCCGGGGGCAACTCACGTAGTGCTTCTGAGAATAGATGGCAGAGCAGTCAGAGCAGCGGAACTTGTCAGCTGAGACATCCTCCGCTCCGTTACCCCCCCGCACAACTTCTTCAGCATTGACATATTCCAGGAAGGGGGCGCAGATAACTCACGGGCTTTGAGGGGCGGCCAGCTGATCCCGCGCACAGCCTGAAGAGATGGCGGTCGAGTCGCCCAGCAAGACAGGCGCTTCATGATTATGGCCTCCAGCGCATCCTGAAAGAGTGACATGCCTAGCGAACGTGCGAAAACACGCCGGGCGCTTGCTTTCAGATCATCCAGCTTCGCCTCACCAAGGGCGTTCGCCGCAATCGAAACAAGCCCACGGAGAGCGTCCGAATCAACAGATCCAACCGTGGCGACCGCTAGGGTTTGGACGAAAAGGCGCCGCTTCCAGAAGCCAGGGGGCCAAATGCTTGCGCCTGGTCCTCCTGCCCTCCATACCGGCATCATCCAATACTGCCCGGTTCCCCCAGTCCCGCCTGCCGTGGCTCCTCAAAAACCCCCGCTCTGCCCCCTGTGTGGCGAGGTTTCCTCCGGATGCGGTAGTAGGCCAGGCGCTCGTCCTTCACCTCGCTTGCGAGGGGCGGGCACACAGCACTGCTGAGCAGGAGCGCCAGGGGGGGCCTGCTCAGGGGGAGAAACATCGACCTGGCATCGGCAACACATCGCAGATAGATCGGCGATAGGCTCCTCGATAGCGATCCGCACTTCCCTGGGCGGGGTGTGCTATCGGGCCCTTCTCGGCCCATCAATGGGCGATTGGGTCGATGCATCCCTCCCTGAGCCTATCCCCGTCCACAGTGGGGGCTGTAACTCGGGCCTCCGCCCTTCCGCCAGCCTTTCGGGTCCATCTGGGCACCCCCAGAAGTCCCTCGGTCTGCTGGACAGCATCCCGAGGCTAAAGAACCGAGAGGCGACGACACCGCCCGAACATCTCCAACTATTTCCCTTGCGCCCACGAGCTGCTAGCGGGAACCAATTTCCCGGGCGCGCCGGCCACTGAAACAACACGGCGAGCCCGCCTGGCTCTGCCGCTGGACCCAGGGCTAGGTCGGGCCTGTCCCTCTACAGAGGGATTTTGGGCGAAACAAATATCCCAAAAATGCCCCCAAATGGCCCAACAATAATCACGAGATCGTCCTCGGACGACTTTTTAATAACTACTTTGGAATATCTACCCCCCCTGTAGAGAGGGGCAGGCCCGACCTAACCCTAGGGACCTGCCTGACCGACGGGGCCGGCAGGCAACGAAAAGGGCAGGCAGGCACCGGCGCGTCAGCCGAGGGGCACGGGAGGAGAGGCGGCGGCGAGGCGGCGCACGGGCGGCGCGGGGCGCGCCGCGGGCG